ATATCGACGTCATAAACACCAAACTTGATGGTGTTTATGGCGTCGAATATCGACGTCATAAACACCAAACTTGATACTGTTTATGACGTCGAATATCGACGTGATAAACACCAAACTTGATGGTGTTTATGACGTCGTATATCGACGTGATAAACACCAAACCTGATGGTGTTTATGACGTCGTATATCGACGTCATAAACACCAAACTTGATGGTGTTTATGGCGTCGAATATCGACGTCATAAACACCAAACTTGATACTGTTTATGACGTCGAATATCGACGTGATAAACACCAAACTTGATGGTGTTTATGACGTCGTATATCGACGTGATAAACACCAAACCTGATGGTGTTTATGACGTCGTATATCGACGTCATAAACACCAAACTTGATGGTGTTTATGGCGTCGAATATCGACGTCATAAACACCAAACTTGATACTGTTTATGACGTCGAATATCGACGTGATAAACACCAAACTTGATGGTGTTTATGACGTCGTATATCGACGTGATAAACACCAAACCTGATGGTGTTTATGACGTCGTATATCGACGTCATAAACATCAAACTTGAAGGCGTTTATGACGTCGAATATCGACGTCATAAACACCAAACTTGATGGAGTTTATGATGTCAAATATCGACGTCATATGCAGTAAACGTGATGGTGTTATGACGACGTATATCGACGTCATAAACAGCAAATTTGATGGTGTTCGTGACGTCGTATATTGACGTCATAAACACCAAACTTGATGGTGTTTATGACGTCGAATATCGAGGTCATAAACGCCAAACTTGATGCAGTTTATGAAGTCGAATATCGACGTCAATTAATGTAAATTTGCATATATTTACTGAAATAAATACTGTGTGTCTCATTTGTTGTTCAATCGTTGTGGTGAGAGTATCATGGATAACATAGATATAATTTTTGATGAGTTGAAACGAAATGAAATTGATATTGATAAGCAAACTTTATCGTTTCATATAAATACAATTCTCGACCGCCATCGAGATCTATATCGTGCAGTAAATGCTCGTGATCTAAACCTTGACCAAATCTACAGAGAGATCAATGTAACAAACGTTGGTTGTATCATTGCCTATTTAGCTTTGGTATGTGTACAAAATGATAGCGAGGAATCTATTCGTCACAATGTGCAAAAAACCATCGAGGCATGTCGAATTTTTACTATTCCCAAACATAAACGAAGTAAACGTCCAATTTTAATAACACTCTCACTCACACTGATAGCTTTATATATCAGTCTATAATTACTGGCTGTTTCATTTTGTTCAAACCTCTGAAGAGTAAGGATGCGTTGCTGTAAAGGTTTACCACAAATCTCTCTTCGAAACATTTTTCGAAAAGTACGCTGTATTTCTGCGTGCTGTGGTGGAAAAATTGTAATTCAAGGCTCAGACATCGATGGCGGAGAAATATCTAAGCCAGATCTATTACGATACAGAAAGCCCCGCAAGTTTTGGTGGAGTAGATTCCGTTAATCGCGCCGTGAAAAACGAAGGGAAATATGAGATATCTCCGGATAAAATACGCCAATGGTTACAAAAGCAAGATGCCTATTCATTGCATAAACCTGTGAGATATCGCTTCAGGCGCAACCGTGTTATAGTTGGAGCCATGGATGATGAGTGGGAGGCAGACTTAGTCATTATGGATTCATTAAGTCAACAGAATAATGGGTACAAGTACGTTTTAACTGTTATTGATGTACTCAGCAAATATGCGTGGGTTGAAGCGATAAAAGCAAAAACTGGGAACAATCTTGTCAAAGCCTTTGAGAATATAATCAAGAAAGGCCGTAAACCGAAAATGTTTCACACTGATAAGGGAACGGAGTTTATCAATAGACAGTTTCAAACATTTTTGAAGAAACATAGCATTCGATTTTTTACGACGTACAACGAAACCAAGTCATCGATTGTTGAAAGGTTTAATCGTACGCTCAAGACGAAAATGTGGAAATACTTTACAGCGAACAATACGCTCAGCGAACAAACACTTTACAGCGAACTTTACAGCGAACAAACGTTATGGTGTTTATGACGTCGCATATCGACGTCATAAAGACCAGACTTGATGGTGTTTATGACGTCGTATATCGACGTCATAAACGCCAAACTTGATGGTGTTTATAACGTCGAATATCGACGTCATAAACACCAGACTTGGTGGTGTTTGCGAAATCGTTTATCAACTTCATAAACAGTAAACGTGATGGTGTTTATAAGGTCGTATATCGACGTTATAAACAGCAAATTTGATGGTGTTTATGACGTCGTATATCGACGTCATATACACCAAACTTGATGGGGTTTATGAGGTCGTATATCGACGTCATAAACACCAAACTTGATGGTGTTTATGACGTCTTATATCGACGTCATAAACACCCAATTTGATGCTGTTCATGACGTCGTATATCGACGTCATAAACACCAGACTTGATGGTGTTTATGACGTCGTATATCGACGGCATAAACATCAAACTTGAAGGTGTTTATGACGTCGAATATGGACGTCATAAACAACAAACTTGATGGAGTTTATGACGTCAAATATCGACGTTATAAACAGTAAACGTGATGGTGTTATGACGTCGTATATCGACGTCATAAACAGCAAAATTGATTGTGTTTATTACTTCGTTTATCGACGTCATAAACACCAAACTTGATGGTGGTTATGACGTCGTATATCGACGTCATAAACACCAGACTTGATGGTGTTTATGACGTCGTATATCAACGTCATAAACACCAGACTTGATGGTGTTTATGACGTCGTATATCGACGTCATAAACACCAAACTTGATGGTGTTTATGACGTCGAATATCGACGTCATAAACACCAGACTTGGTGGTGTTTATAACGGCGTATATCGACGTCATAAACACCAAACCTGATGGTGTTTATGTCGTCGTATATCGACGTCATAAACACCAGTCTTGATGGTGTTTATGACGTCGTATTTCGACGTCATAAACACCAAACTTGATGGTGTTTATGACGTCGAATATCGAGGTCATAAACACCAAACTTGATGGAGTTTATGATGTCAAATATCGACGTCATAAACAGTAAACGTGATGGTGTTATGACGTCGTATATCGACGTCATAAACAGCAAATTTGATTGTGTTTATTACGTCGTATATCGACGTCATAAACATCAAACTAGATGGTGTTTATGACATCGTATATCGACGTCATAAACACCAAACTTGATGGTGTTTATGACGTCGAATATCGAGGTCATGAACACCAAACTTGATGGAGTTTATGATGTCAAATATCGACGTCATCAACAGTAAACGTGATGGTGTTTATAAGGTCGTATATCAACGTCATAAACAGCAAATTTGATGGTGTTTATTACGTCGTATATCGACGTCATAAACACCAAACTTGATGGTGTTTATGACGTCGTATATCGACGTCATAAACACCAAACTTGATGGTGTTTATGACGTCGAATATCGACGTCATAAACACCAAACTTGATAGTAGTAATATAGAGGCCGATCGATCCGGATTTTTGTGATGGAGTGTGGTGGAGTGTGGTGGAGTGTGGTGGAGTGTGGTGGAGTGTGGTGGAGTGTGTTGGAGGGAGGGTGCGTAATGACGTCACTCATTAGCATACGTCATAATTATATGCTATGACGTCACGCGGGCCTGTCCGGGCGAAATTGTACAAAATTTGCTGACTAAGCATTTTTTAGCGTCCCTCCTCGTGTATGATACAATGGAGGGATTAAGATTGGCTTACTATGATTGGTTGTTTGATTTAACGAGCGTCTGTATAAAATCGACAAGCGTAGTTTTGCATTAGTTCTACATAAGTCATGGAGTGTCTACACGGAAAAGCTGCTGCCTCTACAACTACAAACAATGGTACATTTTGGTTTTGTGGGGAAAAACCAAGCTGTGAGTTCTTTTGCCCGGACGAAAATTGTTATATGTATACGAGAGCTGCAGCTGCGTTTCGTGCAAGTGGTTCTATACATCCCGTATGTCCTACAGATCAGAAATATGCCAAGTTATTTGTGGTCAAAGACACAATGAAAGATAACTACGGACGACCCTTCTTCGTATGTTCTGAGCGAAAGAATCCCTGCAAGTTCTGGCAATGGGGAGACGTGTTCGAAGGTCCAAGACCGTTATGTGAACATGGAATGGTGTGCTGTGAACGAAAAGTCAAGAAAGATGGTCCGAATCAAAACCGTCTGTTTTACTGCTGTCCGAAGGATGAATCTTGTAGTTTCTTCGAATGGAAGCAACAAGGCCCTCGGGTGACCAACACTGGCATCCTGCTCTGCAGTAATCCACTACAATACCAGTACATGATTGAAGAAACAGGAGAGACATTTAATAGTTCTAAATCTAACACTAAGGAGGCCTATGATGAATTTCGTAGATTTGTTTAACAAGTGAACTTGATAAAATAGACCTCTTGTAATAATAATACGTTGCTAGTTAATTAATGTAAATTTGCATATATTTACTGAAATAAATACTGTGTGTCTCATTTGTTGTTCAATCGTTGTGGTGAGAGTATCATGGATAACATAGATATAATTTTTGATGAGTTGAAACGAAATGAAATTGATATTGATAAGCAAACTTTATCGTTTCATATAAATACAATTCTCGACCGCCATCGAGATCTATATCGTGCAGTGAATGCTCGTAATCTAAACCTTGACCAAATCTACAGAGAGATCAATGTAACAAACGTTGGTTGTATCATTGCCTATTTAGCTTTGGTATGTGTACAAAATGATAGCGAGGAATCTATTCGTCACAATGTGCAAAAAACCATCGAGGCATGTCGAATTTTTACTATTCCCAAACATAAACGAAGTAAACGTCCAATTTTAATAACACTCTCACTCACACTGATAGCTTTATATATCAGTCTATAATTACTGGCTGTTTCATTTTGTTCAAACCTCTGAAGAGTAAGGATGCGTTGCTGTAAAGGTTTACCACAAATCTCTCTTCGAAACATTTTTCGAAAAGTACGCTGTATTTCTGCTTGCTGTGGTGGAAAAATTGTAATTCAAGCCTCAGACATCGATGGCGGAGAAATATCTAAGCCAGATCTATTACGATCCAGAAAGCCCCGCAAGTTTTGGTGGCGTAGATTCCGTTTATCGCGCCCTGAAAAACGAAGGGAAATATGAGATATCTCGGGATAAAATACGCCAATGGTTACAAAAGCAAGATGCCTATTCATTGCATAAACCTGTGGGATATCGCTTCAGGCGTAACCGTGTTATAGTTGGAGCCATGGATGATGAGTGGGAGGCAGACTTAGTCATTATGGATTCATTAAGTCAACAGAATAATGGGTACAAGTACGTTTTAACTGTTATTGATGTACTCAGCAAATATGCGTGGGTTGAAGCGTTAAAAGCAAAAACTGGGAACAATCTTGTCAAAGCCTTTGAGAAAATAATCAAGAAAGGCCGTAAACCGAAAATGTTTCACACTGATAAGGGAACGGAGTTTATCAATAGACAGTTTCAAACCTTTTTGAAGAAACATAGCATTCGATTTTTTACGACGTACAACGAAACCAAGGCATCGATTGTTGAAAGGTTTAATCGTACGCTCAAGACGAAAATGTGGAAATACTTTACAGCGAACAATACGCTCAAGTACGTGGACATTCTCCAGAAACTGGTCAAATCTTATAATCGTTCTCGACATCGTAGTATTGGTATGAGACCGGAAGATGTGAATAAAAGTAACGAGAATATTGTGTGGCAAACACTCTACGGGAAGGAGTCGAAAAAATCAATCCAGTTTAAGTTTAACATTGGGGACCAAGTCCGGATTAGCAAAGCAAAGCGAACATTTAAGAAAGGATACTTGCCCAATTGGACTGAAGAAGTGTTCACGGTAACGAAACGCGTGCCTCGACGACCGTCTGTTTACAAGATTGCAGATTATGACGGTGAAGAACTGGAAGGAACATTTTACGAGCAGAAACTTCAGAAAGTCAACAAATCAGACAGTGACTATTATAGAGTAGAAAAAGTAATAAGATCACGCATGCGTAATAAACGTAAAGAGTATTATGTAAAATGGTTGGGTTACCCTGACAAGTTTAATTCTTGGGTACCAGCAGAGAGTGTAAAAGATCTGAAATAAATATATTTGAAACTCATAACTTGTATTCATTTGTGTGTTGGTCTTCAATATGGCAACACAGTTTTATCTCACGTTACCGAGTAATAGTTCTATGGCTTATTTTCAAAATAATACAGTGGCGAATTTTCGAGTGAAATTGGCCGAAACCATTGTCTTGCCAGGCCAATGGGAAGTGGCATTGACGGAACTGCATTACCCACATACGTGGAGCACGCTAAAACGTGGAGTGCAACAAACGTTTTTGTATAAAATTAGCAGTAACCCTTATCAAACTGTCGTGCTTAAAGAAACACAATATTCTTCTATTGAGCAACTAACAAAAGCACTCAATGCCGGCATGTCAAAAGAAACACAAACGAAAGTAAAGTTTAGTTATAATCGTAGTTCTCGCAAAGTTTTGGTTGATGTAAAACCCGACACAACTGTATGGTTTATCGGAGAATTAGCAACGGTCTTGGGATTTGACCAGGACACACTTATT